GTAAGTCAAAGTGAATGCTTTATTAATATTAGAGTATCCACAGTAACAACAAAACTTTGGAAAAACTTCAAAAGGCAAAGTAAGATCAATTTGAAAGGGAAGGTAAGTTTATATAACACATGTCAGTATCAAGATAATTCAATGAGTTGTAAATGAAAAAACTGGTAAATATTTATTATAGGGTTAAAAAGGTAGTTTATAAAGGTAATAAGAAAAAGTTACTAATAAAGGGGAATAAAATTAATAATTAAAGTACCGGTAATATTTGAATTTCTTCCCCAATTGGAAAAATATCCACTATTCTTCTGTCTAATTTGAACCACACATTTGGTGTTAACTTCTTTTGCAATATTTACAACGTATTTTGTTTTGTTTGGATATTAACTTAAAGAGCTCTTTAATTTCACTCAAAAATCTACAAGGATATTTTGAAATAGACAAGAGCTGTTTTCTTGTTAAAAGAGAAAAGGTTTAAAACATGACCAGATCAAAATGTCCGAAATGAGATGAGAAAATTGGGTCGTAAAACTTTCATGAAATTTGCTTTATAAATACATTTAACAAGCCTTAATTTAACTTTACCTGTAAATATTTTCTGGAGTGTGTTTCCATCCACGCTTGATGAGGTGAGCATGAAATCAAATACCTTGCTGTTGTTGCAATGATATGTATTAATGTGTGATATAGTCTTAACCAAAGTATAAAAATAGTTGAAAGACAAAAATAGTTGAAAGACAAAATAGTTGAAAATGAAAGACATTAACAAAGATGTTATTCCAAAACTATATTTAAAGAAAAAGCTGGAACACAATCCAACTACAGTTATGTACAAATACCTTTGTTTAAAGAAATATGCCCTGTGGTCCAATAAAATCAAACCGTACAGTGTTGACTTAAAATGGCAATTATTGCAAAAATTATATCAGGTGAAGAGGAAGAGGGAAATGTTTAATCTTCAAAACTGCATCACAGCAGTGACATACTGTGGGTGTTTCGCATGAAAAGAGACTGTTGCACTTCCCAAAATAGATGGTATCATGAGGAAATAACTCTAAATAGGTAGCATAAGGTTGGATGAAATCAGTATAGCAGTTGGACAACAGCTATATCACCACAAAAATTACAAAGTGACAGACAGAAAACACAGTTGATGTTTTTGAGTGTCCATAACAAAAAATTATCTCTTCCAAAAAAAAAAAACCTAAAGGAAGAACTACTGTGCCTTGGGAGAGTATTCGCCCCCTTGAACTCTTCTACCTTTTACCACATTTCAGGCTTTAAAGATAAATATATAAAATTATAAATTGTTTTGTGAAGAATAATCAATGACAAGAGGGACACAATCATGAAGTGAGCGAAATTTATTAGATATTTTCAAATTCTAGCAAACAAAAAACTGAAGAGTGGGACGTGCAAGATGAATCATCCCCTTTACCTTCAGTGCAGCAAACTCTGCAGAAATTCAGGGACGAGCTCTGAATGATACATTGTTGACCTAAATGACTGGATGATAAATAGGATCCACCTGTTTTCCATCAAGTCTGTATAAAAGCACCTGCTCTGTGATAGTCTCAGAGGTTTGTTTAAAGCTCAGAGAACATCATGAAGAACAAGGAATACACCAGGCAGATACTGCTGTGGAGTATTTGGATACAAAATGATCACTGGATAAACTGTAGAAATCTACAGCTGAGGAACGAGATTCTTTACCTAGGACTGGCCTTTATGAGAGAAAGCCATTTCCTAAATATATCCATAAAAAGCCTTGATTAATATTTGAAACAAGCCTCCTGGGGGAGACAGCAAACATGTGGAAGAAGGATCTCTGGTCAGATGAAGCCAAAATCAAACTTTTTGGTAACAATGCAAAACATTATGTTTGCTGTTAAAGTAACAGTGCTCATCACCCTGAACGTACCATCCCCACTGTCAAACATGGTGGTAGCAGCATCTGCTTTTCTTCAGCAGGAACAGGGAAGATGGTTAAAATCAATGAGAGGATGGATGGAGCCAAATACTGGACCATTCTAGAAGAAAACCTGATGGGGTTTGCAAAAGAGCCAACACTGGTAGGAAGATTTATCTTCCAACAAGACAGTGATCCAAAACATAAAGCAAATCTACAATAGAATGGTTTACAAATACACATATCCAGGTGTTGAATGGCCAAGTCAAAGTCCAGACCTGAATCTAATCGAGAATCGATCGAAATAACTGAAAACTGTAATTCACAAACGCTTTCCATCCAACCCCTCTGAGCTCCAGGTGTTCTTCAATAAAGAATGAATAAAATGATAGTTTCTCGATGTGCAAAACTGATAGACATACCCCAAGCGACTTGCATCTGTAACCGCAGCAAAAGGTGTAGCTAATTCTTCAGAAAAAATTACTATTTTATATCTTTACGTTTGAAGCCTGAAATTCAGCATAGATGCTTGGCGGCCCATTCAAATACAGGCAGATTTGCTGCAAAATAACCAAAATAACTTTGGGTTATTTTTCACAACCTTTACAAAAAAGCTTACTGTTTGAGAGGTTGTACTATATATTATATTTCTGTTGTTAACCGTGTGAAATGTGTTTTATTTTTTTGATCTAGAGCCTGTTTCAATCATTGTTGATAACTTTTTATACGTGTAATGTTTTGCTTACATAATCAAAGACGAGTGGAGCAAACTAAATTTAGATTTTCTACTAACATTAACGGTGTTAAGTATCAGTGGATGTAGTCTTACAAATAGTTACCTCTTTACATTAGTGTTTATTTTATGCATTATGCAATGTATTACTGCATCTAACGAATTCATTATTTCATCCGTCTCAAACATATTCCTCATTATTGTTACTTAATGCTAGGTAGAAGCAGAAATGATGAAATTGTGATATCAAATCTATTTTCTATTTTCCTGCATTTCAGCATGGTTTTGAAATGTCTATTGCAAGGATCAGCATTCCACGGCTCCAGAGCCACATGCTGCTCTTAAATGCCCCCCTTGCGGCTCCTTTGAGCTTTTTCAAAAATGTATGACAGAAAGAGATGGATTTTTTCATTTATTTGTTTTCATATGGTGTGAGGGAGGTCAAACAAATATTCCTTATGTTTCCAATGCTGTAAAAAATTTTATAATACATAAACTTAAATAATAAATTTTAACATTTCTGTCAAGGGAGAATTGCGTAATAGCCTGTGACAGTGCGGCTCGGTGCAGTGTCAGGCAGGTGGCTGTTGTAAAAAAAAGCGGCAGGTGTGTCTCAGGACATGGATCCCAAAGGGGAAAAAGCAAGATAGCTGATGAGAACAGAGGGTTCAAAGAAGAATTGACAACATTTGCTTTTATTACCAAAGCGGAAGGATTGCCTGCATGTTTTCTTTGTGATTAGAAGTTGTCAAATAAATAAAAAAACGTCATTTGCAAAAGCCTTTCCCGGGGAGGGCATGCTAAATGTGCAGCCAACCACAAAATTGGGAGTGAGAGAAAAAGTGTGATTGCAGAATGACTGGATAAAAAAATAGGAGAACAAAGAAAGATTTAAGAAGTGGAGTGCATCGCCAAACTCCACTAAAGCTGCTAGTTTTGTTAGAAGCATTAAAAACCATTTACAGATCAAACAGGTAGCTCTCCTATGAAGCATGTGAACTTTCTTCCAGTTTTCCCTCCAAATTCTCAAAATAAAAATAACACCAAAAATCTGATTTCTTTATTGTGTTTCTATAATTTCATCAATGCAATAATATATCAGTTTTGTAAAGGAATTTAAACTTAAAGCACCAAATATATTACAACAGACTGGTTACATGATGTGACATTTGCTTCAGGATAAACATTTAAACATGAGTGCTTATTATATATTTAAGCCCACATAGACCTTTTTTTTAGTGGGCCAACACACTTTGAGCCATGCGAGGCTTATATAAGACTTTTAGATTTTTGCGGCTCCAGACAGTTTTGGTTTTTTGGTCCAGTATGGCTCTTTGAATGGCTTCGATTGCCAACCCCTGGTCTATGGAAATGCAAGCATGAGCAGCTAACGTCCCTCGATCCATTTAAGCTCCATGCGTCAACATTGCTCTTTGAAATGTTGCCCATTGTCACCAAAGGAGTTGTCAGAACTCTCTTATGCAATGATAAATAAGCAATGGTGTTTTGTAGGGGTGGGCTACAGTAAGAGTGGGAAAATATTCTAGTTGCATATAATTCCATGTAAACTGGGTATTATTATTGCGGTAACACATTTTTGCACTGTTATAGATAAAAAAAAATTCTATGTGCTAAAAGTTTTGAAAATTCTTTCAACCTCTAAGTCCTATTATGGAAGGTGCACAGACTGTTATGCATGAGGCCCCTGTTTTTTTTTAAGTGCTAAATTTATCTGAGGTGCTTCCATCCATCCATTGTCAATACCAACCAACGGTGGAGTTGGTGCATATCACCAACAAAACTACATAAGAAAAGGGCAAGGCAAATTCATTTGTATTGTGCAGTTCAGTGCAGGACAATTCAAAGTACATATCCAAACTTACTGTTTATGTAGTTCATTTTCCTCTGTGCTATATTAAATTAGTCATACCAACTCGATTGATGCTCATGTTTCTGTAATTCCTCTTTTTATTTAACCTGTTTCCACTGACAGCTGGTATGTGACGTGCTCAGCTGCTCCATACATGAAAACAACTTGTAAAAACAATTTTCATCAACGGCGCAATCCATTTGCCTAAATAAAGTGAATTACAATGTGGATGTTCCTCCCTCCTTAGGGATTTTATGCCATCTGTTAGTCTGCTATTACAGATGGAATTATTTTAATAGACTCATTACAATTCATAAACAGACAAAAAGCAAAGCTTTAAAGCAATCCTGATTCAAGTGAGTGACTCATCTTTTTTTTTTCATTATCAATAAGTAGGTTAAGGTTATTTTAAGAAGCCTGAATTATGCCTCACCAAAACTTAATAAGGTAAAATAGGAGTGATTTGCATTATTTTGACATGATGGGTGGATGTAAATAAAAACAATCAATCAAAGCCTGTGATGTTGACCACTTGAGTCGCTTTCACTGACCTTCAGCCTCTTGGAAGAGCCTTTGTTGGCTGTAGCTGCCCATAAGCTCATATTTGCTTTTCTCTTCACCCTGTAACACAGACAAGAGAGCACATGTAAACATAATGGAATATCGTGACCATACCACAAAAATGGATTTATTACATAAGGCTGATTTTCTTCTTTTTTTCCAAATCAGTGGAGATGTCATAAGGATTTGTGGGCAGAGTGGATGAGCAAGATTTACTGAGAACCAAGAGCCATGTCTCACTTGTAGACAGTCTGTCTGAGGTATTATTATCTAAGCCTAACAGTGTCTTTCAGTCTGCAGCTCTGTAATTCTGGATAACTGACAGCAACTGTGCTGGGAAAATTGCTCAAGAACCACAGCTATTTTGATTTCAGCCTCGATGGAAAGCAGTGGCCTGCATTGTGCTCGCCTTGATCCAGAACAAAATGTGAGTTATTTCTAACAAAGACATTCATCTGAGCAAAATCATCCCTGTTGGATAATAAACCAACCATTTTGATTTATTATATTTTCTATTAAAATAATCTGTTATATATTTGTTGCCATCAGAGCAATGAAATCCTTCTTATTAATGCTGACCAGGCCTTTTTTATCTTTCCACTGGTACTTTGACAATTAATCTTTGGTGATGAGTTACAAGTCTTTGAAATTAGAATACATCTCTTCCATCACGCTAATAATTACCTCCCTCCATATATTTCCTGTCATATATTCTGAACTTTGGTTCGGCCACATGTTGGAAAAGTCTTACATAGACTGAACCAACAAAAACTCAAGTGAATTGTGTGACTGCAAAATAAATAGACAGTTTTAACTAATTACATTGTTGACATAATATAAAAACTTTTAACTAGATACCGATGATAAGAACTATACTTACAACTTATAATTTTTTGATGCACACGCAACCTTTTTTAAAAGCATATGGAATCCCCTTATAAAGAGCAGAGAACACAACTAATTACTGTATGACAATATTTATCAAAATTATTAAGTTTTAGCAATTTCAATCCATTTCGAGTAAAAACTTAAAAATGTAGATTTGTTTTAGAAAAAAAACAGTAGATGTGATAACATTGGGAATGTTTTAATATAATTCGTTGACATGTATTTTGATTCGGCAAATCAATTAACCAGACTTGTATTACTATGGAGTAAGCATGGATTTTTTTTTAAATTCTTTTTATGTAAAAAAATGGTTTGTAACAGCTACATATAAATCAGTACATACCAGCATATACAGCATGTAAAGCAAGAATATATGATATTATTGGATACCATAAAGTCAATCTAATACGATGAAATGTGGCTTCAATTCCCCACCTCACCTCTTCTGTGTCACTATCTGTGTCACCATGATGATGAAGGTGATTAAATTAGAAACCCAGCGGAACAATGCCAGAGGGACAGGTTACGATGAGGATCCAGAATAAGAGAGATCAGAAGGCATAAGCTACATAAGAATATTAAAAGAACCAAATAGAAAAAGGTGAAGAATTATTAATTGAAAACACAAAAAGATGCAACTCATGGCATGAAAAAACTTTAAAAGATTTATCTAAATCAGCTTAATAAAATATGGAGAGGTTGTGAAATAAACTGCTCAACACCTCCAGTCAAGAAGGTGGCGGTGATATAAAACCAAGGGCCAGAAAAGGAAACACTATCCATATTCTGCCATTTGTCCATAAAACAAGATAAAGAACACTGTTGCTATGTATCCACTTTCTTTAGATCATTCTGGATCACAAAACATACTGTATCCCACAATTAATCAGAGTTTTATCTTTTCAGCCCACTTCCTGTGTTGCCCAAATCAGCTGGCTTCTTTAAAGACCCCGCCTCAAGCATGCAGTTAAGGCCTCACCTGTTTCCACTGCCATTGTGGCTTGCTGCTGGTGTCTTCTCAACATATTCATCTGAAATATTTAACCCTATTGATCTGATTGCTGGGTGAGTTTATTTGATACATTATTATTTTTCCTTGTGGTATTTCTGCCCATTAGAGCGTTGATTTATTAGAAGCATTGGCATTGTTTACCTGGACCGTCGTTGGGATTCTGCCAGAGCTGATTGTGGCTAAGTACACCCCGCTCTCTTTGAAAAGGTAACTTGATTGCTAATTTTTTGTGCGTGTTTGACACGTTTACCTTGATTCCGAAGCAGTTTAAAACAAGATTGATCTGAGCAGTGTAGCTATACTTAAGTTGATATCATGCAGTATGTATATTTATTTAATTTTTTTCCTTTCTCTCACTCTGCTTGAGTATTTGACAATTTGTTTTATTTTTCTTATTTGGTATTTTGAAAGTGCACTTTAACTTTAAATTGATTAAGCTTTATATAAGATACTTTTTTTGTTTTACTTTATTTGAATTATGGTTAATTTAAACTGAATGTTTGTCTAATTATTAGGAATATAATTAATGCATTTGTATTAAGTATGCATAAATTAAATTATTAAATTGAGTAATTGTTTCCTTTGTATTATATTTGCATTTAATTGTTTTTGAAAGAAATTAATGGGTTTTACTGACCTTTTAGGTCGGGTTTTTTTTTTATCCTGACGGATCAGATCCTCATCTGGATCTGAAGATGGCGAGTTAGACATGGACTACGGATTTTATGATTTTGAAATTAATTTTTGAGTCAATTCTCTAGTGTGTCATCGTATGGCTGTAATTGTCTTTTTTTTATTCAATCACCTAATCTACATCCATCAAACCTAAAAGCACTTCCTGCTGTTTTTTTCCACACCTCAAGCTCCTTAAAAGGACACTCTTCTGATGCTGCATTTGTAGCCACAGTTAGCTGCCTAGCCCAATAGTGTTACAATATCTTTAAAGGTCATAGCAACAACTTTTTCATCAAAACGATTAATTTTTCAATCATATTGCATAATCATATCACTTTGCAACCGGTCACGAGAGATGCAGCTCAGGTGATATCCAGATGCTAGTGGCTTGGTCTTATTTTTCTCAGATTCAAGCCAAAAAATAACCAAAACTACTGTAGTGTTACCATACGTTTCAGTGTTGATGCCAAGCAAAGAGGCTTGGAAGCTACTTGGAGGAACAAAAGCAAGCGTGCACAGTTGCTCCGCTTTAAACTTGTAGCTTTCACCTTCAAATCAGAATTTCCTTCCTGTATGAATGACTTGTGATCTGCTTTGAGGTCAGGGCCAGATTGTATTAGAGCTGACAAAGTAGCAATTTAATAATCAAGCAAGTTTTAAGATGCCTCTAGTAACACTAAAAAAAAAAGAAAGAAAAAACGTATTAACTTCTTCCTGTGTGACCAGGCCCCTCCCCTACGCAAAGAAGTCTTTCCCGATAAAGCTGGTGCCTTCTGATTCGTTTACTTTAAGAATAGGAACTAAACTGTACATTCTTTTAACAATCACCTCACTTATATTTTCCCTTGATGAACTATTTAGGTACTAAAGTCAGATTGTTTAAAGTGTTAAAAAATGTATGGCTACAATTACAGCTCAGTCGTGGCCTCTTTTTAGGATCCTTATTGGAAACTGAAGCCAAGTCTCTGAAAATTCTTAAACTACACCTGATTTAAAAACTTAAAAGTAGTTTACAGATTATTTACTCAATTCAACACTGGAAAGATCAACTAAAAAGCTGTCTTCAACCACAAAGAGCAACAAAAATATAATCATTATCTTGAATTTGGGATTTAAGACATAATACCTGTAACAATAAAACAGCTGAAGATCCAGATATATGAACCATAACACACAGTTACAGTCGAAATGTGTGAACAGCTGATAGCATAAAGCCACTCATAGAATTGTATCAACCTACCTCTGGGTGTTTCTCTGGCACCCGATTCTCCATGATCTCATAAGCTGGATCAGCTTTGCGCCTCTCTTCTTTACTAGTAAACTTTTTTTCTGGCAGAAAGAAGGAAATTCATTTTTTTAGTAAAGCCATGCTATAAAATAGAAAAATACCTAGAACAGAGATTGTTTTGTTGTTGGGGTATTTTTATGAGAAGATTTATACCTCGTTTGTTTGCAAATCAACAAAATGTCTTAATTTTGTAATTAAATATGTCTCACATTTAGTTGCAAAGCCAAATGACATTCAAAATAGAAATAGCTTATAATTTTAAAATATCTTTAGCAACCATCAGATTTTTCTCAATGTGAGGAAAGTTTGCCCCATTCCTGACCTTCAGCTCTGAGATGTCTGCAGGGTTTCCTGCATGTTGATGTGTGGTATATTTTGAGTCATTTTCTTCTTTTAGACCCTTAAGGAACCCTAAACGGCTCACATAAAGCTGCCCGTCTTCTGTGACTGTAAGCTGGTCAGGCTCTGTTACAGCAGACCATCACCAAGCCCTGACACTTCGACCTGCATGTTTTGTAGCCGAGGATTTATTTTTCTTAAATGCTGTTTTTGGTTTATCAATTAACTTAACTCTGTTTACAAGGTTATCACATTTAAGTGTGTTTAATATTAATTGAGTTTAAGAAAGGAATGATTGAGATGGCGGATAAATTTGTTCCTCACCTAATGATGTATTTCTTACTACAAATAAGAAAGATTTCAAAATTATCTTTAGGTTATTTATACTGTTTTATAATTTATTAAACACAAAAACATTCAATATGTCAAAAGCAAACAAGGTATCAAGGGGTATTCTATTTTTTTTACATGACTGTGTATGCTCAAATACACAACAACAGTAATAATGTTTTGTTAACTGTGTTTTACCAACCCAAGCCAGCGTGATGAAAACAGAGCGTTAGATCAAAAACACTTGGAGGGAGAAATCATTCTGTTAGTAACAGAAAGAGGTCCACACATGCTGTTAAAGATGGTCAATATGCACAGTAGCTAAATGTCAGTTTAGTCTTCTTCTCCACATGTACAAGAAAAATAGCTGATTACATCTTTATAATGCAAAGACTCTAAAAGCTAAAAACAGGGTTTATAATGTCCAACACAGATGATGATAACCCTAAAAGAAGTTCTGAAAGTAAATGTGTTTTTTTTTTTTTTGCTCCCAAGACATAGTTATTCACTGACCATCTTGGGCTGATATTGTTATGCATATTATTATAGTAGCAAAATGTGGTCAGATGACTATTTGCTCAGTTACCCTGAAAAAGGCTCCACCTCCCATGCAGTGAAAGCCTCTTGAAGCATTTAGCGTACTGAAGTAAGAGAATCTTCATCATTGCAGACAGAGCGTCTGCATAGCATTGCATGATTTTAACTCATCATTACTGGCTAGCTGCTGCTAAATCTGAATGGGAGTTGAGTTAACTTTGTAGAGAGGGTGCAACTGTACTATAATTTAAATTTCTTGTTTGTCATGCATTAGAAAAGACACCGTCGTCAAGAACATTCAAAGAGGTCTGGGAAAGTTGGAGATCAACATACTTGTCCAACATTAATAGTTAATAAACATAATTATCTTAAACAGCATATCTACTTATAGCATTTTGAACAAAGAGGATACAGAATAGTGGAAGGGGGGGATTACCATTACCTACTTTTTTAATAGCTGTCACACATTAACACTCTGCTCAAATTTCTTTAGCACAAATCTAAAATATAAAATGATGACAAAGTCAGAAAATACTACTAACAAGGTGATTTATAAAGACCAATAGATCAAAACTTTTAGATTTTACTCTTCTTTTGTTTTCTTTAATGACTTTTATTTTCACACAAGTACGCAAAGTCAAATACACATTCACTGTCAGCTTGTTTATCATGAGTTTAAATTTGAAATGATGGCTCCTCGAAAGCTGAATCTTAATTTGTGGTCTTCCAGAATGTTGACATGTCTAGAGTATTTTTAGCCATACATTTTAAAAGGATCATTGGAAGGTACAATATACACCTATCGCCTTAAATGATCATGATCGTGTATAACATCTAGGAATTTAATGGTTTTCAAAACAAGCATGGTACCCAGTATCTCATCCATTAGATTTCATCAAGTTGTTGATTAACCATAAAAAGCATTAATTAGAAATGTGTTTGACTAGTATAAAAATCATAATTCTATATTTGAGCATATTTAGGTTTAGAGAGTTTGAATGTAAATGACAAAACAAAATAGCCACACAATCAGTGATTCAATAAGCAGAAAATAGTACAAGGAAAAGGCAGTGAAAAGAATGAAGTCAAGATCCTCTTCAGAGGCACAAAGGATACCAAGGGTCTGTCTCTCTTACCTCCATTTCCTGTTGAATCATTTACATCTTCAGGCTGACACATCTCATCAGCATCTCTGAGGAGTTCACGAAGCAGCTCCTCATCAGCAGTACTGTCACTAACTTGGCTTTTCTTCACGTATAGCTCAGTTGGGACGCTTTGACATCCGGAAATACCCCTGCTGGGGGGCATTTTAGCAGGCGTGACCTGTAGCAGAGGTTGGCAGAGCTCTCCTCGACACTTCAAACAGTTTTCATAAATGACGGCTCTTTTGTTCTGCTGGGAGTCCCAAAGTGGGTTAGCTGGTGCCATGGTGAGCTTATGTGCTGGAGCTGGGCTCATTGACTCGTACAGGCTGGGTGTGTGTGGTTGGCTGTCTGCACTTAGAAAGCTGAACAGATCAGATAAGATGTCTGCTATGTTTTTTTCTTCTCTCTTTGGGAGCATCGCATCCTCCCCCGGCTGCCCTCTCGATGACTCTGCGATGCGTCCATTAGTGGTACAGGTCTTTTCCAGAATACTCTTCACTGTAATGGTGTGCATGACAGTGCATGGCTGCTAGATCAGTGAGTTTTCCCAGCATGCATCAACACTTCTGTTCGTGCATGGGCAAAAGAATACATGCGCCACAGTTAGAAAGCTTTAGAGAGATTTCTTACCTGGTAGGGTTGGCATCACCGAAGAACCCATTTGAAAATAGTGATTACCCTATGAAGTAAAGAAGGTAAAAAATGTTTTTTCTCTCATATGAAGCTACTTTAGAGTCCTTTGGCACGTTATGATTTACTTTTTGATATAATGCTAATATTATTTTAGAAATAAATGATTGCCTGCGAGATTAAATCTAAAAATAATAACAAATTAGCTGGGAGAATCATGTTTTTGATTGAGTTACAATCCCCTGAGACAAATTCCAGCGGTTGATGAAAGAAATAAGTTGTGGAAATATCAGTTTTTGATGTAATGTTGGAAAATACTCATTTGATAGTTATAGTAGTTAAACACATTTGTTAGTTCATCAGTTTCATTGCAATTACACATACCGGTAAATAGCAATATGGTCATTTATATAGCATCAGATCAACACATCCAGATGTACTGAAAACCAAGTTTAAACCAACCATTAAATTAGGAATTAAGACAGTTTATGTGACTTTGAATTTTTAAGCTTGTTTGAGTAACTCAGAAACTCCTGAGTACATTCATTTACATTCATCAGAAAGGGAATGTGTGCCTGAATGTATGAATGACTGAATGTGGTGTAAAATGCTTTGGAGTACCCTCACCCCAAGGCACTATATCAGCTGTTTACTATTTACAACACTACGTGTGTTTACATCATATGATATGAAATAGAGAAAAACTCCAGTAAATTCTAGTTGTGTGGATTAAAAACACAGTGGTGATGTCAAACGAGAGTCCAAAGACTGACACAAAACGAAAGGCTGCAGTAACCTTAATAGTCTCCCTTTAAAATAGGGTGACCAGACGTCCCCGATTTCCGGGGACTGTCCCCGTTTTGGACCACCTGTCCCCGGCTAAAGCTGTCCCCGGAAAT